TAAGTTGAAATCACAATGATGGTTAGTTTCATATAATGTGAAAAAGAGAAAGAAAAAACATTTGTGATCTGGAATCATCAAATGAAAAACTAACCAATTAAAAAATATCATTTTCAAAAACAGTTGGATTAGTTTTCTGTTCCACATTTAATCACAAGCCGTTAAAACAGAGATCCTGTTATATGCCTTTGGGGATGGTCACACTCATGAATGTAGCAGGAGAAACTTCACCCCCACGTTCACGTCCACTCTGTGTGACCGAGGACGTGAATAAAACATTTGCCTCCTGTGGAAAAGTAAATCCACTACATGGGGACTTTCAACTTTGAACTTTGACCCACAGCATTCTCCTGTTCAAGCGGATGTGTGATCACGCCCCCTCTGCAGCCTCTGCTCGTTTACACTGAACCAAAAAAAGCCAAGATACAGACTTAATTCAACTTCTCCCTTTTACACAGACTTCGATCTCACTGACTACCTCTACTGCCGACACAAAGGCAGAACAAAGACGCCTCCCCGACTCTGTGTCTTTTCCTTTTATACTAAAAGGCACAACGCTCCCACCCTGAATAAAGAAGAGGCTGCAGTGTAGTTTACAAGTCAGATAACGAAAAGCAGACGTTAATATTCTAATGCAACACTTAGCAAAACATTTTGCAGTTTAAAAATAATCTTGTTACTCATCAGTCGACCACTCAACAAGCGAACATCATGTGGACATGGTTCTAATTATCGGTTGATCAATGCAGCGTTTATTTATTTTCTTCCCACTTGATAGAACGACCTGTGATGTCACTGTATGAAGCTGCCATCTTTATAATTGTACGTCTGCAGCCTCGCAGACAGTCGGAGGAAGCCTGTGATAAACACTGTGGAGCTTCCACATGGTGTTGGCTAAACAGAGTCTGGACACAGAAAGTGTGACCGAGTGCGAGAGGAAAATATTGAGCTGTTTTTACGAATAAGGTGATGGTGTTGTGTGTTTTTTTTTTTTTTTCCCCTCCAGTTTTGGTTGGTTTCCAAAAACTGAGCACAATAAATTTATGTCGTCTGGCTGAATCCAGGTTCTCTGCTTTATTAAATGGGACGTGGTAATGGATGAAGTGATGTAATGTGTGGAACTGTGCCATGGACTTAATGTAACTCAGCCTTAAATGACCCACATGGAAAAAAACAACCACTCGTGCCCTCATTTGGCATTGATTTATTTTGATTATCAGTAATATTCAATAGTAAATGAACTGTACCTGTAAACCTGTACTGTGTGACTTTGTCTTTATTTATGTTGTTTGATAAATATTGCTATTGATAACCGATTGTTACTAATAAACCTTTTATTGTTGTACTTTTGCTTCTTCTTTCATTTTTAAATGTGTTTCACTGTAGAATCAAACCCTTGAGGGTTATCTTTGGTTAAAATGCTAATTATTTTTTAATTAACCAGTTTATCAGAAAACTTAATAGTGGAAATAAATCTTTTATAAATGTTCACCTTGTCAGATGAACATTTAAAAAACAGCAAATTTAGACAAATGAGAACTTGAAAGATTCATTTTAAAGTCGTTCCTGTAATAAAACCATTTGTGTATTTATGTTTAATTGAAAAAGAAAACTGGTTTAGGAAAATGACTCAGCACTGGAGCTGATGATTATCTGTCCTGCAGAATAATAATTCATCAGACCTGCAGTAAATCATTCTTTCAATTAGAGTTTGATTCAAGCTGTTTCTCAGTTTCTTCACATCGTCACATGTCACGGCCTCAGTGTTTTCTCAAATGTTTTATTCTGAAGGATTTTAGAAGCTGGATGAGATGAAAATATATTTTTTATCCTACTAACATCTTTTCACCCGTCACATGTCTTTATCTGGTTTGATGAAACCAGAACAGGATGTTTTCAGACTCCAGATAATGGGTCTGCACATTTTCTGCAATTTCCCTTTTACTGATTTGGAAAATCACCTGAAAACAGAGATGATCCTAAATGAAGTGTGAACACACCTGTGAGTCTGTTGGCAACACGCACACAGACACAGACAGAGCAATGGATCGCACATACCAATAGATGATTAATCCCACTTTATTGATGTGTCCTATAATGAGCTTTTTAATCTCCCACCCTCTCTGGGGGAATGCAGACTTGCATCAGCTAATTAATGAGCACACAGGGGGAATTTAGGTCGCAGGAAGCAGCTGGGACACAAAGAATGAGAGAGGCGCTGCCTTCGATCAATCCGTCACAGGGAAGAAATCAGAGGGCCCAAGGAAAAAGAAAAGGAAAAAATCAGTGTGAATGAGTCCAGGCTCCCGGGAAATGAGTCTTTTGACAGGAAAAGACGAGAGCGACAGTGAACAAGAGGCGCCACGGTGCCGGTGTGTTGGCAGACAATGACTCCACTCTGGACTGAATCACTGGGACAAGCGGCGAGAGATTTGAAGAATCTTTTGTGGAGGAATGAGGAGACGAGGGGACGTTTCTGACCTCAGACAGACCAACAGTTTGATTTATTGGAGGTCAAGTGTAACCGGGGACCAGGGCCACACACATACTGTACATATCTCCCATCCATACAGCACTGCTCCTCTCACTCCCCCCCACCGTCGTCTCCTCGCCTGGTGCCTCTCACTCTTAGTCTCTTGCCCACAGGCTTTCAGAAAAATGGGGACAATAAGGACTTAAACAGGCAAGTGGGTCACACTCTCATGCTGCTGTGGTGAAAGCAACACAACACACAGACAGGATCTCTTCTAGTGTGTGTTCTTCATCATCATCATCATCATCATCACCTCAGAATCACTTCATGTAGCAGGAGTTACTTCTTCTTCTTGGGATGTGTCATTTAATTGAATTAACACTTTCAGAATCAATGCTGACAATTAGCCACGTCAATCCATCGATACAGATTTGCACATGAAGACAACGTGAGCAAAAGTGAAGCTGAATTACCTTGATCGCCCCCTGTTGGCTGGATGCAGTGTAGGTCACAAACGCCCGTCTGTCTCTGGGACATGAGCCAAACAGAAAAAAAATCAAAGTACACGTCAGATTAAGTTTCTGAAAGTTAGTTTCTGTCATTTTAAGAATCACACCGATGTTTGTGTTCATGCTTGTTTGGTTTTAATGAGTTAGTTGATGCTTTGATACTTGGCTCCATCCCCCGATTAGGAATCTTTATGCAGTTTATGGTTGAAACTGAAATATCTCAACCACGGTCAGATGTCTTTCCATAAAGTTTGGGAAAAACATTCGTGGTCCCCAGAGGATCTCGCTGACTTTTGTGATTCTCTGACTTTTCTTGAAGTGTTAACATAAAACAAAGAAAGTCAGTTGGTGATCATGAAACATATTGTACCTGCTAAACATCAGCATGTTTTAAGTCTACACGGCTTCTCCCCCTAAATGAATCATTGGATTAAACGGATGGGGATAATAATTGTACCTTCACAGAGCCCTCTATAAGCCTTTTTACGTTTTGAACACGTTCGGCTCAGATAGATCCCTCCACCAGAGCAGAGGAATCATTTCCGACTGATCCTGCGCCGGGGCCTCGCAGGTGAAATCTCTCTGCTGCAGTCACTACTCTTCACTATACCCTGGAGGTGGGAGCTCTGTCAGCGCCGCCACCACTTGTGTAAACCTTTCCCCCTCAATATGTCTCTGCCATCCATAACACGAGACATGCGCTCTGCTCCAACGCTGGAGAAGCCGCAGACGCCAACACACTCTTAGCAGATTGCTCTTGATAGATGGGATTCTTCCTAAGTGCAGCACCGGGACTCATTTGAGGTAAAATTGTTTACACGGCTGCAGACTAATTCCTGGGACTGGATCTGTCTGGGTCGTGTTTTATTGCACATCATCTGTTCTACATGTGTGTGATGTTCCAGGCTGCAGTTGAGTGCAGATGCAAATTGAATGTTTGTTGGTGTAGAAGTGGTTCAGTGACTCTGAGCTCAGGCAGGAACACAGATTTGTCAGCAGCCATGTGTGATAGGGTGATTTATCTATGTTGTGATCTACATACATAATAAACTAGTTCACTCTGTCTGTGTACAGCTGTCGTGTAGAATTTGCATTTACTGGAGAAAGATATTTCCTGGAAGTTGCTTCATCTGCAATGGAGATGGATCTGATTGTTTACAATCCATATGGTTCAAACCCGTGTTTTTCTTTGTTAAATCATTTTTGGCCCATTTTGTGTTCGCTTCACCACAGTCACCTTTACAGTTCCATAGAGAAACGAACAGGAACAGGAAGTTTAGAACGGGCAATGCACTGATCTACTTAACAAGACAAACCACAGTGATTAATACTTCGTTTATCAACTGCCTATTAAATATAATTTACTTCTATGTCACGTCTCAGTCTGTCCCTTCAGGCTTTACCACAGTCAAGACAAATAATCAACATCAACTCTCCATGTACAGGAGAAAAGAAACACGTCATGAGTCATGAACTCAAATGGCAGCGTATGTGGGCCTGGACATGACTCTGCAGAAACCCAGTGAGGCTGAGTGTGTGTGTGTGTGTGTGTGTGGGGGACTGCAGCTCCTGTGTGATACGTTAGCAGACACACTGCAGGTCAGAGTGAAAACAAAGATAGAGTCACAGCTGTTGGCTGATCCAGTGTGAGAGACGCTGCTCCTCTCAGCTCTCCACCAGGCTAATAATATCCTGCTGAAGCTGCTGATCGGGAACACGAGGTGAGAGCTCGACGCTGCCCAAGTACGTCACCAGGCAGCTGCTAAAAGAGGAAGAACTTTTCCCAGGACACAATCAGGCCCATAGGTTGTGAATTTTTTTCAACAACACGGAAATACACCCACGTGCTCGCTGTGGTCTAAAAGGAGCAAACACAGAGTGCAGTGACGTGAATAATGTATTTTTACTGCAGGGTGTTTCAGGTTTG